AATCTTGACGTGACCTCAAGAGGCAATACTTAACCTTCACTGCAAGGTACACCAAGAAAAGCAGGGCTAAGATTCAAGGGAAAACGCTAGCCCAGCCAAAAGCTGGATGTCTGAAGCATTAATTTATGCTGCAGAAGAGCTGGATGCAGAGCTCTTCACTGGTGTTCCTGAAAGCAGACAAGCTCTGGAGAATGCTACCGTGTTGCTTTTGGAACAGAAAACAGGGAGGGATTCAAGACTAAACAGGGCGTTCTCATCCCATCTTTTGCTGACAGCCTGCAACCCACGTGGGGGGAGTCCTGAGGAAACACCACCATTTTATTAAACTTTTTTTAAGAGAAAGTGCCAGATGAAAGCGACAGTGACATCTGTCCGTGACCTGCCACACAGGCACAAGAGGCAGGCCAGTCACTGCAAAAATAGCCTTGCACCACAAGAACGCACTGGGACTATTTGACTTGCACATAGGAGGCAGCAGCAGATGCTACCACCAGCCACTGCCCTAGTCGCTCACATTCCTGACTTCTGAACTGGGAAACCCTTGGCATAAAAAAAGCCATCCACTCTGCATAAACAGCACTGCACTCTTCAAAAGCACCTTAAGGGTCACAATATTGGTTACTTCTGTCCCCCAGATGAATGCTGCTGCCAGTACACTCTCGGTCAGCGTGATCCGGGCAGAATTTAATGGGAGTGCAACCAGGGAAAAGAGACAGCCCACAGGGCCGGAGGGGCAGGGCAGCGTCGAGGGCACAGGCATCGCTCCGACCTGCCTGCTGCGCTACTACAGAGGGCTGGCGAGCGCCGCGAAGAGTGAAGGAGCAGGAACGAGGGCAGCATCAGAAACAACACAATTTAACTGCACTCTGTGCTGCTTCCAGTACACGCTGGGAAAGCCGCGAGCAGGGGCGATGCGCACAGCTTACCAAAGGGAATGCTGAAGAACGGGCTGCATAAAGCCTTCTCAGCGGAGGCTCGCTTTCCTTGGTCACAATGAAGCATGCTGGAAGAGAAGACACCCTTATGCTCTTGTATGTGACATTCCTGCATCGACAAATTCAACTCGAGCTGGAAGCCAGTAGAGAGGAATACCCTATCTCTGGGGTGCTTACGGTACAAAGAGAAGAGTGAGAAGCACGTCTCCCAATTCACAGCTGAAGCACAGCAGAGGATCCCCTGAAAGCCTTTTGGGTACATGGTACAGTAGGCTTTCCTTCTTGACATCTCTCAGCACCAAACGATGGAAGTCGCTCAATTACAAGTTTCCAGGGAACACGGCACGTTCCAGCTCCATCTCCCCAGGCCATTCAGCCCATGTCTCAGACACACATGCAGTCTCATGAAAGCAATCGCACTCCATGGAGCTCCCACATCTTTCCACAAATGGGATACAAAGCAGCTAACAGGGCTTGCCTGAGAACATCCCCTACTTGGTTTCACCAGTGGCTCCCAATGCTATTTCTGCCAGGGTTGTGTCCTCATTCACTCTGTAGCCTCAGAGCAGAGTCACAGGACAGCAAAAACAACCCCCTCGGCAGACCTCTCAGTAGAGACTTGAACAAGTGCATTTGAATCTGGACAGCAGTGGAGAAACAACGCTGTCTGCCCGCCTCCCTCGTTTCTGACAACGCTCCCCTAAAGCAGCAAAGTCTCCATTTTTCTCCAAATATAACCTCATTGGCAGGAAGTGCAAAGCACTGAAACAGCAAATGATTAACATCACGACTCATAGTCTTTATGTGCTTACTCCAAACTGTGCCAAAAATCAGAGCATTTGAAGCATCTCTACTAATGCTTGCACTTGTTACTAGCACAGTGGCAGGGAGATTAAAAAAAAAGATAAATAAATGTGTTAGGTGTCAGCTGTAAGTTACCAAGAGCAAGGCATAAGACTTTACAGAGCACATCTTTAAGCAACAGTTAGTAAATATGGTAAGATACCTTTTGATAAGGTCTCTGAGGTGATAAGCTGGAATGGCTGAATTAACCACCCCTTCACTGGCAAATATGCGATCAATGATGGCAGAACTGTTTGTCTGGAAAGAAAAAGAAAGAGTGCTTAAGGGGCGGGGTGGGGGGGAAGACCAGTGCAAAGCTTGCAATATCACATCATTTTCTGGATACAGAGGGCTCTGGTACTGTGGCATTCTGTGAGGGATCCCCAATGCTCAAGTCTAACATGTTAAACAAGCAGGTCCACATCAGACAAAGTTTTTCCCGTTTGCCTGTGCAAAAGCTGGAAACTCCCACACAGAGGCAAATTTGCTGTTACTGTGGATGTTGTGATGCTGAAAGGATGCTCTTACTGGGAAGGGGAATACAAAACAAAATTATTTCATACAGAAAAGAGGACAGTCAGGCTCCAGGCTCACAACACAGAGCCTTCCTCTTGTTTTCTCAGGATATAGACTTACGAGAAGATCCCCAAATTAGAGCTAACGTTGGACTAAAACCAGCAAATAGTTTCTCTGTCATTGTGCCGCTGAACTAGCTGGCAGCCGTCAGCCATCCATTTTGTTCCTCCTTGCGTGCCACGCTACAGCCAGCACACCTCACCTCCCAAATCCTGGCAAGACACAGGCTCCTGGAACCCTCAGCTTTCAGTAACCTGAACACAGGCAGCATTTAGACACGCCAGTCCAACAGGGCAGACGGGTCTCTAAGGCTCTGGAACCTTAATTCTCAAGGCAATAGGATTAAAGAAACATCCTGGAAACACTCTCTAGTTGCCAGGTGCTACCTCACAAATCCAGGTTACGAACAAGAAGCAGGAGGACTTGTTTGGTGCAAGCAAGAACGCCCACAGCAGCTCCCGCTCACCTTCCATTCCTGAGATTGGACTGTATGTTTCAGTTTCATTCCTGAGAACATTTCCAGTAAAACAATTCCCAGACTCCACAGATCCACAGCAGAGGTACACTCCGTCTCACTCTGGAGCCCTGCCTGCGCCAGGCAGTTCTGCAGTTCTGCCTCTGGAGCCCGATACCCGTCTGTTTGAATATATTTCACATCCTACAGAATATCAAACACACAGAAAAAGTTAATTTTCCAGATTAAGGTTCTCCGCTCTATCCTTAAATCGGTTCACAGGTGTCCTTCCAAATGGGTCACCAAAATACTATTGCTAAATTGACAGAAAGGGTCATATAGCCAGTCGTGTTAGGCAGGCGGTTCAACTCATTATACTGCTGTGTTGATGAGGAAAAAACCAAGACCGTCTGGAAGAGAAAACATCTCGCAGCAAAACTGCAGGCATCCCACTAACAGCTCTGAAAGACAGCGCCGCTGGGAGGAAGAGACTGGATGTCACTGCGGAGTGGCCCATTAGCCTCTCACAAGCACAGAAGATGCTAGAAGTTTCAGGATAAGGGCCGAACACCCACAGCATGCTCCCACGTCAGCCGCGTAAGAGCACAAACAGCCCAGTCTGAACAGCGAGGATCAGTAACAGCTGCCATTATTCAAGTACTGATGTTCTCTGGAACAAAACGTTACAAGAATGAAGCAGGCACCTAACGCTCAGACAAGGAAATTATCAAAGGTCCTTCCCACGCACCTCTTTCCTTCTCGCCCTTGCAGCCCGAAGCGCTGCAGCAATCAATACCTGCCCAGCCGCCGTGGCTGGCAGAGTAAAATAAAATGCCCACACGCTGCCTGCTTAAAAGAAAACAGGGAATTATAGAATCACACAAACGCTGGCTGGAGGGGCTGCTCTGAAGGTCTCCGGTCCAGCCTCCTGCTCGCAGCCAATACCCCATCAGTCAGTTGTGGCTTTGCCTAGCCAAGTCTTGTAAGTGTCCAAAGACAAACCACACGCTGCATCTTTTTAATGCTGGGGTCTCGTTTTAGACACACTGATGCAATTCAAGGAATGACAGAAGAATATGCAAGCCTACTTCCTGGATAAGGTGCAGGATTGGGAATGCTTACCATGGGAATACATTCAACTCAAAATTATCTGGTTCTCTGATTGAAAATAAAGTTTACAGAAGACATTTTCAGGCAACAGAGCTCAAAAGTGGTTTATGAACTTAAAAAAAAAATTGATACACAAATTGCTCATCAGTGTCCCTCCTATCAGCAAAGAGCAGAACCTCTAGCATGGCAAAAGCAGCAATTTGGCAGCCCCACCAAACAACATTTAGAGATAGAGAAAAAACACCATGGTCAATGACACCAACAAAAAGAGCGAGATGGAATTTCACTCCTACCACCTAAAGCATTTTCAGAGATGTAAGTGACTGAGACCTTGCTCTATGTACAGCTATTCTCTGTTAAACAGTAACGGCAGTAAAGTTATGCAAGGATAAGCTCGGCAGAGCAGTCACAAAAAAAAGTAGTATAGTCTTGACTCAGGTAAGGAAATCATGTATGTATGCTGCTGCCCAAGGCAGGGGTGGTGAGGGGAAGCTGGTACCTGGTGCACATTCAAAGCAGGGTCAGAAGGTTCACCCATATAGCCAGCATATTTCTGAGAACAGCAAAGGAAACTCAGTCCAAAGAAAGCAGGCTGGAAGGAACCATAGAAGCAAATAAAACACCTGATCAACTATTATGAGGCAACTCACAGAGCAAGCAGCAAAACACAGACCTAAATTAAAAAAAAATAAATATCTGCATTAGACACAGGACACCAGGAGAATGTTTTTTGCTGATAGACAGCAACAGATTACCAGCACAAACCAGCGTTCAGCCAAGAATGTGGGAGAACTGAAGAACAACATGGAGGACTTCAGAACTACAAACATTAAAACCAGCTCCCGTACCAAAGAATTCAGAGACAGGTCACTCACACAATCTGATATTCACGCATCAGTGGGCTGTACCATCAATACCAGGTAAACCAGTATAAAAAGTCTGTGAATTTAAAACCTCTAAATGAGTAGAGACAAGTCAGGACAATGTCTGCACAGAAAAATCATAGCTTGTTTACTAAACTTACTGCCCATCTCCCAGTGATTAAAGGCAAATTTACTAAAAGGCTACCTGATGAAAAAGCTTTAGTGATACCCCTCACAGGCTGCTACGGAGATCCCGGGTGAAAGGAAGCTCTATGAAGCCAACAGCAGAACCTCCTGAGGCTCTCTGCTTTCATCAGAGGCCATGGAAGAGAATAAAAAGGGCAAGGACAAATTTGCAACAGCCACTATCACCAAAACAAAAAAGTGACAGCATAAAGAGGAAGTAAAAGCCCAGCAAACAGGAAAAGCAGAGTAGGACAGGCAGAGATCTGTCTGTGTCAGTAAAGAATGGACACTGTCAACCCACAAGAGTACGGGCTTTCATCAGCACAATGACATGGGAAAGAAACATCCAGACTTCCTGAAGATAAGATGAAAGTAAAAATAAGCACAAGGACACCGCCAGAGATAATGCAATTGGCTGAGGAGGCTGATGGTGAAGCCTGGATTACTACTACATACGATAAGGATGATAAAAGGAAACTCTACAGATCCGGGTGCTCCCACTTGTCTGACCACATAAAAACTGGCAAACTTTCCAGGAAGCGGAGACACCACTTTTTCCAGTGCATCATTAACTTTGGAATTCGTGGTCATGTGTAGCACAAAGGCTAAGACATCAACAGAAACCAGAGACATGAAAGGAGAATGGGAACATGAGCTTCTGTTTCTGGGGCCAGAAAACATTTTAGCCTTTTGCAGGAAACCCTTAGCACCAGCTCAGCTGCTACTCTGATCAGGTCACGTTGACTCGTACACTCATGAGCTGAAAGCATCACAGACCCACACAACGCAACCCAGAGGCAACTGCTTCGAGAACAGCAGGTTCCAAACCTGATTCCCTTCTTTGAAGCTAAGTCCAAAGTCAATGAGCTTAAAGCACTCCTCCTCTGCGCTCCACAGGATGTTGCGTGGCTTGAGGTCTGCGTGCACGTAGCCTTTGTGGTGCAGGAAAGCCAGGGCTTCGAGAACATCTCGGGCGCAGTGCTGGATCATCCACATGGAGCAGCCCTGGTTGCTGGAGTGCAGCAGCAGCTCGGACACACTGATGTCCAGCAGCTCCAGCAGAAGACAGCGAGACGGGCCATTCGCAGAGTAGTGGTTGGTGAACACGCCGTACAGCGTCACTATGGTGAGACACAGTGACAGGCATTGGTAACGAGCAGTTACATGGTCATCACGCTCCACCACTCTCCACAAGACCACAAAAGCTGCAGGAGGCAGCTCATCTGTTTTACAGAGTGTGATGTTTAGAGAGATGGAGAACCAAACTTCAGAGGGAAGGAGCAAGGGAAAACCAGCCACGTCACCCCTATGGGCTTCAGAGGACAGGCCGGTCTCACAACACCCCGCCAGGCTGTGCTGAAGCGATAGGGCTGGGGGCTCCTGCTCAGGAGGACAATCTCCGGGACACGGATAAGCAGGTCCCGGTGGGTAAAACGGAGGTAGTACCACTCTTTTTGGGACACGTCAATCTCTTCCTGTGACAGACCTAGGACAGTGGGAACCTGAGCTCTACCTGGGTATGTTACAGCATTAAAAACCATTTCACGCTGACAAAAAAACCCAAACAGCGGTGGGCAAACCTGGGGGCTTC